ACACTCTTGTATAATATACTAATGGCATGGGTCAGATATTAGTTTGTGGTTTAATGTAATTTAAGGTTAGGGTTAGGGTTAGGGTTAGGATTATGCAATCATTAATCAATTAATTATTAAGATGATCAAAGTTGGGAAACACTCAGCTAATGGAGCGTTAGCCCATAATCTGCCCTTATTTTTTCGGAAAGCGTGTTGGTTACCTCGTATTATAGAAAAAGGACGTTGTGGTGGCTCATGTTCAATGCAAAATATCTGACCCTGTACGGTCATTGATACCGTGTATTTGTAATTCTTTTTTATTCCAAATAATACGTGTACTTCAATATAGCCCTTGTATTTCTTATTAATGTTGATTTTTTAGCTCATCTGACAAGTCAAGATGGCAGCTTGTAGAATCGCTTGATCGTCCGTGTCCGTACCGTGCGGCCTCGTCCGGTCGGCCGCCAACGAGTTTGGGCACAAATTCTTGAACGGCGCGTCGATCGTATCGTCACGATATTCGGCAGCATTGGGGGGATCCTCAAAACGAGTTTTTGGGCTGTCGAAGCTGGGTAAGTCAAAGGTCAAGAGTGTAGAAAGAAGGGGGAACATTCACTCCTAACTTAAAGGTATAGGCGAGGAAATCAGAATTGCGGCCGGCAACAATCTAAAAACGCTGCGACGCTAGGCCTGCGTGATAGTCGGTGTATAGCACATGGTAGGAAAAGCCATCACTGGTGCCCGAATTGATGGTCACTGAGGTCAAAGTAACCAATGGGCACGGAGATTTTAGGCATTGTTCTGGAGGACATGTCTGACGGAGCCGATTGATAAAAGCTTTTTTGTTTCAGCGGTGACCTACGCATTTTTTGGCATTATTTGAAGGACATGAAATCTACTTTCTGCTGACCATGCGCAGAGTAGTGTGCAGATAACTCTTTTGACCCTCAAGAGGAGGGTTAACATGGATTTAGTTGACTGTCTGTCTAGAGGAGAGAAGCTGCCGGGTTTTGCTAAGTAGAATCTATACAATGCCTGGATGTGATGAGCTACAGTGTCACAGTGAATTTCGAACAGCTAAATTTGGTTAAGAAGGTTTATGCTCCTTAAATCGTATAATGTTATATGGCGATTCTGTAAGTGTCAGTATGTTACATGTAACGTATGCCGACTGCCATGCCGATGTGTTGTGGTACTGTGGAGTTTTTGCGCTAATTGGTTCAACAGGTGGCAGCTGCTCTAGTTCGCACCTGTAGGCTTGCGTAGGTAAATGGATAGGTGCTTACCTTTTCTGTCTTTGCAGATAGTCTGTTGCTAACACGTATGAATGGGATTTGCACAACGGGAGACATTACTCCCTGCACCGGCCAAATTGAATAATGACGGAAATCTCGGGTCGCAGCTCAAATCAGCGAAATGTGCTTACTGAAACAGGCAAAATGTGCAGGAATGTGTGCGCAATGTAAAAAAATATGTAAAAAATGTTATACTAAACAGCGAAATGTGCTACTAAAACAACGGAATGTGCGCAGATGGGTAAGAATGTGCGGCAATGTGCAATCAATAACTGCCTGCAAATGTATCAATGAGTAAAAAATGTTATACTAAACAGCGAGAGTGCCTATCAGAACTGTGCTTAACAGCGAAATGGGCGATGTAAGATGTGGCGCAATTGTGCATCAATATAACTGCGCGCAATCGTATTAGAAGATGTGTAAAAATAGTTATAGCTAAACACGAAATGTGCTACTGAAACAGCGGAATCTGTGCGCGACATGGGTAGAATGTGGCGCAATGCAGATATTCTACTAACACTATTTCATTTAGGTGGCAATAGTTGACTGTTCATTTGTTGATTAACCGTCGTTCCTAAAATCAATGTTTTTAAAACTCGTTCCTAGGACAAAGTTTATGGAATTCCTGGAACGAAGGTTGGGAGGAATGTCTCCCGCGGCGACCAATGCTCGTATGATGGGGAGCTTGCCATCTTTAATCTGAAAGCACTTAAAGTACGCGCGCCAGGTCTCGTGGCAACTTTTCAATACGATGCGGCCAACGAACATCTCCGTTGACGAAGGTTGCCTGATAGCACTCCTAGTGCATTCCACTTTTTCGGCGTGTATGTGAACAACATTTGGGACTAACAAGGGTTTACTAGAATCCCACCACTCCAACCCAGCAGAGTAACGCGGCAGTATGACCGTTAGATGAGGGGCTGCTCCGCTCATGCGCACTTGTATATATACGCATGTATCATATTTTTTATTATGCAGCTTAATGTTTTAAAAACATTTTTTCTGAGTTAGCGTCAATATGCATAATATAATTGGAGCATGAAAAATGAAAATGAGACTTTGCGAGAATGAAACTTATAAACCAAAAAAAAATCATTAGTACATTGGACTAGATCAGTTGTTTTTGTAGCTCATGAACAAAAAAGTGCCATGGGCGAGCAAGTACGTTGACGATGGCGATGACCTGTATTACAGATTGACACCGATTAGTTTTAATTCGGCAATAACAATGCCAAAAGATAGAAGAGAGCTAGTTTCCTGTCTATAAGCCTACACTAACGTGCAACAAATGCAACAGTAACCGAAGTCCGAGGAGATGTACGTTGTGTAAAAATCGTTCACTTAAATTTGTAGGTAAGGTTTGTAAAGCAGGGTTAGAAATTAACTTTTGAACACGGGAGTCCAACGGACTCGCTATCTCCTCAAAACAGAGGGAGTCCATCGAAGCAAAATGAGGGAGTCCGGCCAGTCGGAGGTTCAAATTAAAGATAATTAGAACAATCCACGCTGAATCAACGCATGTTACTGTATGACGTTAGTTATTTTTAAGATTCATGCCGTTGCACGTGCTGCAAATTTTACCTTGGACATTAGGCTGAAAAATACGGTAATTCCCGGGAGGCCCGTGTCTCCGGAACGAAACTTAGTCAGTAGGGCCTAAGTCGCAGGAATGTTCAGGGAGTCCATCGGCAACTCTGCACATATGTCCAAATCAGCGGAGTGCCAAGTAAATCAGGGAGTATTTGGGCCCAAGGATAGAGAACATGGTTCCCACGAATAAAACAAGTGGCAATGTGCCTAACCACTAACCCTAACCCTATACCGCTATATTTGAAACCCTTTGATTCTTATTGATGTAAATGAGCATTAGTTTATTGGGACCCATGTTCTGCTATCCTTGAAGAGTATTTGACTCGCGGACTCCGTTAATTTCGCACCCTGGTACAGTAAGAATTTTTAGACAATCATATCATGTAACCTCTTTCAAGACTAATGTATAGATTCGTTTATTCTAGCAGATGATTGAATAGTTAATCACAGTGGCTATATGCCGCGGCGCCGGCGTATATCTGTGACGGCTTGCCGGCACGGTCCTTCGATTTCCTAATGCCCGGGCAGTTTTTAAATTTAGCGTTATCTCAAGTAAACAAGGGGTTAGGGTAGAGTTAGGATTAGGGTTAGGGTTTAGGGTTAGGTTTAGGGGCTAGAGTTAGGGTTTTTGTTAGGTTTTACGGGTTAGGGTTAGAGTTAGGGTTAAGAACTGGCCGGGCTATGTTAGGAAGACGAAGACCGTGCCCAGCTGCCGGGTGATTAGCCACAGCGGTTTTGAAGTTATGGCGCCCCCGAACTTTACACTGTAACAGTATGTGTTGTGTATTTATAATTATTGTATATTGTGCCGTGCGTCCGCCGACCATGGAGCCCCGATGCCTACTCACTAGACGCTATATACTTACTAGTACCTTAGTAGAGTCTAATAGTAATACATATAATCTGATTCTAATCACTACTTATTGTCTACTACACTCCTAGTACTAGCCCACCGTTGTTAGCAAGTTCTACGAACGCGAGTTAATAATAACCGTTTAGCGCAGAAGAGGGATTTACCCTCATATCTCATAACCATGATTATTATTTATTATATATATTATTCTGGTAATATGCAATTTCATATCACCATCAGAGCTATGGCTGATAGGGTCTATGTCGCGCCCCAGGTACTGCTGGAGACGTACCCTGGTATAAATATCACTATCTTAATATGCCGGACCGTACCCTTCGTCCGTACTCCACTAACGGAGCTCTGTGGGAGTCACGCTACGCCATACTCTCTAACCCTAACCCTTAACCGGCTGCTAACCCTAACCCTAACCATATCAGCTAGATAGTTACCAGGGTATACGTTCCGGTATACCGGACCGTACCCAGGGTACGTTCCGGCAGTACCCTGGGGGATATAGACCCTATGAGCCAGAGTATGCCCTGTTCAGGGATGTGCCTAGAGTGGGCGGTGGTGGGTGGTTGTGGGTGGTTGTGGGTGCCGGGGACCTACCACAGGAATTGCATGATAGGCAATCATGCTTCTGTCAGTGATCGTTACGCAAGTGTGCACCAATGTTCTTCCATATATTATCAGGAGTCTATCAATATTGATAGACTCCTGATATTATGTATATATAGCAATACAGGGTTAGACACTAATCATTTTAGTTCATTAGTCCACAGGACTAGTAAAAGAAAAAATGTACTAGTTCTTCCAAAATTCTACTAGTCCTGCCGAAGGACTTACTAGGCGCAGAGCGACAAGCATTGTGATTTGCCAGGAGGTAGGTGGGGTAGGAGGGTGGAGCCCCCCTTCTGCTAGGGGGTACAGGGGGTCTCTCCCAGGGTACAAGGGGTGTCCCCCAGAAACGTTTTGTAAAAGACATTCAATTGTATAAAATACATGTAACTTTGATATGGATCATAAGATTAAAATTAAAATTAAATAAAATTTTAATTCGAAAATAAAATTTCGGCCTCCTTTGATGAGGAATCTGTGGATCCGTCACTTATCACAGCAAGGAATTTAGCCTCATTTATAGCTACAAACTGTTCCCGGCGGCTTGTATCGGCTATCGCCGTAATGAACCTCTGGCAGGCCTTGCGACATCTAACCCCTTGGCCTTGTCAAGCTGGCACAGCTTGACGTAATCTGTTTAGGGCCTGCCGTTTTTTCCAATAGCATGTGCATTTCTAATGGGGTTCGCCATTTACTAATCGCTGGATAGATGGCGCGCGTGCACTGTCCGGTATCACTGCTAAACAATGGCGTCTAGTTACGAAGGGGAACCCGTAAAGGTTTCACGCCTGGAAATGCTTTCCCATAGGTGGCCATACTTACGAAAAAATTCCCATAAATCAGCACAAGGTTTTTTTACAAATAATAATGCCATCCTTTGAATACACGTCGCAAGTGACAATATATATGTTATTTATACAAAAAATTCGTCCATAATTT